GCCGCCATTTTCTCTCTAGACCAATATCCCGATGAACTTTCCGTGAGATTTGTGGCTAAAAGCAATCATTATCTCTTTCTAGCAAACTTGAACATGCCATGTTTCCAAAGAGGCCAGAATAGCATACGGTGTACTGTTTTGCTGAAGTAGACTACTTCGTGGGAAAAACAGAATCACCTCAACCTTTTGGAAATAGGGAAATAAGCTTCCCCTTTTCGATTTAAACTATAAAACAAGCTTAAAAAACTGTAAACCACTGAAATTCCCAAGTTGCTCACACATTCTTTCCATCTTTTCCAGTAGATCCTTTAACATATTTGTTCATTATTTTTAAATCCTTGCTGTATTTGTATCTATTACTGCATGACAAATTACCCCAGAATTTCACCTTAAAACAAATTAAAACATTTTTAAAACCATAAAATCAACATTAACATTACATACATTCAACTTTTGAACATTTTAATTTTCATAAATTATTCCTGGACATCTAAAAACGCTAAATTTGTATTTTTATGCACTAATTAACACATACATTTTGAGCTATACATTACTATGTGGCACTGACCTGTCCAGAGAGAGGCTTCTGTTCTTGATTCAGGCAGGAACTGAAATGTTTCTGTGTTCTGTGCAGCAGGTATAAATGTACAGTGAATGATGTCATAAGCCATTGTGATCAGTGTACACCCCTTATGATTTTACATGATTTCATAGGTGGCATTTCATTATGTTCAAAATGTGCTTTTTTGGATACTTTACCATTTCTGAAACTGGGCTGTGTTTTTCAATCCACCTATATATTTACTATGTAAACTCCCTTCAAAGTTATCTTTAATCAGTGATGCCTCTTTCATTCTCATTTAAAAAAATAGTAGTGTGTTATATATAGAAGGCTCTCTAGTACCTTAAGAAGACATTCTGCTCCTCCATTATCAAGGAAAGTAAAAACCCCTCATTTAAGTAAACTAATGCCTCCAGGTAATTCCTGTCTTCAATTACTTCACCGGCCAGTTGCTGGAAAGTAATGGAAGTTTCTAAATACCTTGAGGGTATCCTTTCACACTTGGTTAGAGCCCCACAGGGCAGAGGGAAGCTGTGTTTCCTAGCCCTCTAGCCTAAGTATTTAAGAATATACATTCCTCAATCGCTATCTATCCTATTTATCTAGCAGTCCTGAGGTCGGAGGTATGCTAGAGGCTTGGGCCTGGGAATGGAGGTGGACTTGGAAGGAAGTTCCTCCCCAGGGGTTCTGAAGATTTAGGATACTGCATACCCTCCTCCATGCTCCTGTTTTTGTTTTTTAAGAAGTTGAGGCTTTCCAGAAATCCGGAGTCTTTTGTAGTTGTCTTGGTAATCACTTTTCATGTAACTAGCCCCCACCTAATCTTTGGGAGTCAAGAGTAATATCTTAAGCAAACTCTAATAAAGCTGCATATGCATTCTCTTTCCTCTTGAAAACTGTTTTGCCAAACACTGTATACCTGTTCAGAATTTTTCCAGCATTTTGTGAAATCCAGTCCAGCTCAGTCCCTCAGGGTCCACTGGTATCCCCCAAATCAGTACCAACTTCTTCTGCAGGTCCACACCAAGCCCTATATGCCAGCATGTTCAAGCAGGATAGTGGCTGTCATCCTAAACATTGTATCTTGGTTCCTATCGCAGATGGAACCTTCAAAATGCAATCTGAGGGTGCCCAAATTTTCCAGCTTTTTAAATTCATTCTTTTAACAACCAAATAGAATACCTTGAGCCCCATGGCCGGTTCGGTGGCTCACACCTGTAATTCTAGCACTCTGGGAGGCCAAGGTGGGAGGATGGAGATGGGAGGATCGCTTGAGCTCAGGAGTTTGAGAGCAGCCTGATCAAGGGCAAGATGCTGTCTCTACTAAAAAGAGAAAAAATTAGCCAGACGTGGTGGTAGACGCCTGTAGTCCCAGCAACTTAGGAAGCTGAGGCGGGAGGATCGCTTGAGCCCAGGAGTTTGAGGTTGCAGTGAGCTAGGCTGACACCACAGCACTCTAGTCGGGGAAACAGTGAGACTCTGTCTCAAAAACAAAACAAAACAAAAAATTTGAGCCTTTATGTTGCATGGCTAATAGGAAATTGGTGTATTCATGAATGTTGAAAGATTTCTAGTTAGTGCTTATACATCTTGGTCATCACTGGTCACCTCT